GCCGCTGTCGCTGATTAACACTCCGCTGGGCTGCTTGTGGTGTAACGCAGTATGTATACGGAGAGGTGATGCTGTTATCGGTGTGAACATGCTGGTGCCTCACGTGCACCAGGGTGTGTCAGATGCACACTGCGCTCTCAGGATCGGGGGCGGGGGGGGGGTGACTGCCACTTATTTTCAGCTGTTGTGTTTTTTTCCTGTTTTTGGTTTATATAGGGAGGCAGGTCAGGTTTTATATTTTTCTTGTGTTCTCTGTTTACAGAGCTGCTCGTTTCGTTAGTTTTTGGTGCCCTGGTAGAATTTTTACCTGCCGCATGAGAGGTCTGTGTTCGAGTCCCAACCAGGGCACCTTTTTTTTGTTTAGTATTTTGGCGCTAGCTCCCCCCCCCTTGTTCTGTACTGTTTTGTTTCTTTTTCAAAAAAAATTCAGTTTTATTAACCTCAAGCAGCCGGATTGGTTGCATTTCTCTTTCTACATCCTAATGCGATGCCCTTCGTTAACCCCAAGACGCCCTTGTAATGTCACCGTAACAGGAGACAGCAGGTGGCTTTGGGGTCTGATCCCAGCTCCAGCTGCAGCGTGAGGCTCACTGCTGAAGCCCCTGCTGTTACCTGCTCACATCCCACAGACTGAAAGATCCAGCCTCTCGGGAGCTGCGGAGTCAAGGCAGCGTGAGACGGACTCAGCGACACGACGGCGGAACGGCGGCAGTCGTTATAACATGGAGCCATTTGCTGTGTGCAGCTCATCTAACGTCACGCTGAACAGGCTGATGGGGTCTAACCTCAGAGAGTGTTGGCTCACCGCTAAAAGGGTTTTAATGAATGTTTGTATAAATCACTGCTTAATAGGCTGCAGGGTCATTAAAGGGGAAAAAACAATCAGGCCGTCAGACAAGCACGCAGTCTGGCCGACCACCCGAGCCGCCATCATGAATACAGAGTCACTGTCGCAGCCCACGGAGCGTTTTCACCGTCAGAGCCGACTCTGAGGCGCGGTTTTCCTGAGCTGATAGGAGGAGCTGATGGGGGGCATAAGGAAGACGATTAACATGAAGCCTGCAGAGGGCGTCACTGAGCAGGCCCGGGAAGGGGTCACATGACCGTGCCCCAGTGGGGTGCAGCTCCTGCCACGTGCAGTGGATGATTTCAGGAGCTTTGATAAGCAGGTATATGTGAAGAGGATAACATGTTGACTTACCTCCGGTTTGGTTGAAACGTGGCTTTAACACTTTTATGTCGTTTATGAACACCAGCTCTGTACCCATGAGATTCTGGGTGCCTTGGTCCCAGTAATCAGCATCCACAGCCTTAGTCATCCATTCCTGTCGAGGAATTTTTCTACGTATGTCACTGTCATAGTAAGTGAATGGCTCCCCGTCCAGCAGACCGACATCTATAAACTCTGGGAGGTTTGGTATCCCTGACATGGCGCTGTAGACATACTGCAGGGAGTGTGTGACTGAGAAAACAAAACACACATTACAGTAACAAGCACTGGATCACAGTGATCACTCTACTTTTCTGATCATTTATCCAAATTAATTTTTAAGTATTTAACATTATCATATTTATAAAATAGATAACACAAATATATACTGTAGTACTTTATATAAATATATATCATCACATTTCATTCCTGTGTCAACTATTTTCCTGTCCTTAATAACTGTATGAAATGAAATGCTGACTTTTATAACTGACTTTAACACAAGAGATAAGCTTGTGAGAATCACCAAACTGCTAAACTAAAATTAATCAAAAACACAGGCTTAAATGGAGCTGATGTTACATTTACAGGTATTAAAATTAAAAATCCTTTAAAAAGCTCATGTTATTCACCAGTAAATTTGATGCTTTGAATTACATACATTATGTTAGCAGTTTAAAGGGGTATAGTGAGGGGTGCCGTCCATAATGTTAGCAAAATGTCAAAAATGCACCCCCTTTGTTGTGAGCATCTTTGTGGTTAACGCTACATAAATCCCTGGACCTGTTGTTCATTTTTCATCCTCGCTCCCCCACTTGCCGCGATTTTAAAACTTGCTTCTGCGAGATTTGCATTGGTGAGACCCAATGCAAGATGAGAAGAGAGGCACACGTTAATGTAAGCAGCTTTGCTTATATTCTGAATGTGTATCGATAAAATGGCTTCAAAAAAAAGACGAGGACAGTGTAACCATATTGTATGTTTTAAATTTCAAAATGTTGTAGGCTTTTCTCCCCACCTAATTAGACACTTCACAGCAATGGTTGAGTTATGGTTATGTGATTCAAAAGGTGTGCATCTTACTTGTTTGTGTGTATGCTAATAGGCTGTGTGTGGTCAGGGCTGTGCCCCCATTGCCCCCCCCCCCCCCCCGCTAAAAATTAACAAATCACCTGCTGCATACATTACATGCTGAAATCAGTTCTTCAAAAAATCTACCTCAGTGGGTTCACTCAACAATATGTAAAATTATTATCAATATTAAATAATTAACCACTGTGAACAGCCCAGTGGCTCTGTGGGTAGCTGATGGGTGTGAACATGGCCTCCAGTCTGACTGTGCATAATATAATCTGTAGTTTTTCCCTGTGTCACATGTGCCCTGCGATGCACTGGCATCCCGCCCCATCCAGAGTGCACCCCAGCCCTGTTCCATGTGCTGCCTAAGATCCAGGGCTCCAGGCCGCCCCCAAAATCCTGACCGGAATAAGAAGTGTGAAGATGGATGGATTATCATTCGCTAACCTGAGATCTAAATCATCCTAACTGTACTGATACCACTGCAATCTCACACAATGCATCAGGATTTCTACAGTTAGCTTTAATTAAATGGCTTCAAAGGATCCAGTACCACTAATGAACACTGAGAGCTGTTTGTAATACGTCTCATTCCTCTGTATAACAGGCCAATAATACACAGCAGTGCTCTGTGTTAATGTATGGAAAACAGACAGAGAGTGAATACAAACGGTGACACAGTGCAAACACAGAAAACTGTGAAGATAATGTTATAATCTTTACATTACTTCATGTGAATCTGCAGGCAGCAGTACAGTGATGTCTGTCTGGTTTAATAGTGTGTCATTTTTTCCTATAAATCTAAATCATATCTTTTCATTTGCCTTATAGGTACATAGACGATGTAGCTCTCAGACTGAGGGAAGGTTTATTTATCTGGCAGATGTTTTATCCAAAGTGACATACAAGTGATGCACATAGAACACGACAGCTGTGGCATGTGCTAAATCAGTCAATTTAAATGTATGATTGACCGATTTCTTGTGTTTATGATTATTAAATTGTAATTAACACAGCAGTTCAACAGTATCTTATTATATATAGGCCTACAATAATCAAACAGCATTCAATCGACAAATATACGAAAAAAAAGAAAGACAAAATAAAAAGTGAAATGAAGGTGAAAACGCCACCTTCTTTATCTACCCTAAACAAATGTTCAGTCCAGATCCATAGCGCCCTCTTGTGTATTAATGGAGCTATAGGTCAATAATGCGCGGCAAAAAGAGCGTTATAATAAACCGTATGATGTGACACTTTTAAGCGCATCAAAATTTTGAAATTTTGTATTGACTGCCATAAATAGCCGATAAAGCATGCTGTTCTTAAATTACACTGGGAATTTCAAAACCAAAAGGTTGTCAATTGCGAATTTTGATCTTTCCATACTACGTTTAAGCTAGAGTTCAAGCTATCTTTAAGCTAAACGAAATTCCCAATTCAGAGAGCATTGTTTTTTCAAGCCTTTAAGGTCAGGACATGGTCTGTAACATTAAAATCAGGGTGAATTAATTTAAGGTTCATTTCACATCGTATTCCAATCGGTGTTGAAATCTCACCTACAAAGTAAAAAAAAATGAGAAAATAAAACAGACTACTTCATCGTCTAAAGTGCGCACAGGGTTAACAAAAACGACAAATGACAATAACAGATGTTTTCAGTAATGAAGTTATCAAATAAATTTCTATTTCATGCATGATCATTACAGGAAAATCTGGGTGAAAAGACAATTCATGTGCTTTTTGCCATGGATCAAATGCGAATATATATTCTACGAACCACCGCTATTTACATTATATGTTTATTTATTATTTAATGTATTATACTTTATATAGACCACATACATAATGTTAAAAATACGAATTTAAACTTAACCACATTATATTTTTAAGAAAAACAAAATCTAGTTTTGTAATTATTAAATATCCTAATAACTAGTTCAAATGGAACTTACGTTTGTCTTGATTAAGCAATATGTTTCAGATATAAAATTAAACCGTTCAAATCTAAAATACGGTAGCAAATGAATATCGAATACCGAGATAGGCTATCGCAAAAATAAAAGCCACGCACTTTAGAAATAACTGAAGTTTTAAAGTAACCTAAATTTATTAAAACTTACCTGCAAATATGGAGTCAATGCCGAACAAAATGAGCGCAAATAGCAGAGCTTTCCGCATGTTGTGCGAAATATTGGATTCCTCAGCAGGAGAACGTAAAAAAACACACAATTTTCAGATGCGCGTCCTGGGGACTGAACGACTTCGTAACAAGTCGCGCTTTTATCGGAGAAAATTTTTTTTTTTTAAACCAATAGAAATCAAGATTAGACATGACATCACAGATCTCTGGGATGTTTCGTGATGAAGAGGTTTCTATTCGAAACCAAAGTTAATATGGCTCAAGATGTTCTGGGAAATTGAGTTCGGTACATTACAGGCAGCTTGGAGAATGACGAATGATCGGTTGTTTCAATACAGGATTTACGCTAGTGCTTTCATGTATTTCCTGATATATTAGGATTTTGTTATTATAATTTAATTGAGTTATGGGATGGAAAGCCAGCATTACATATACTTTATGCCGCACAAGGCAGCGCTTTTTAAAAGACATCTTTAACATATTTAACTGCTGAAGATGGATGAACCGGGGACTCGCATTTTTAGAGAAATATTTAGCTTATGATATTATTCAAAGTCAGATTTGAAACCATAAAAACATTCTAATGTTTATGTTGACTATACATTTATTAATATCTTTTAAAGATACACAAAATTTTCCAAGAGACATAACTAAAACATGACTGTTAAGACCTGCGATGGACTGTCATCTGGTTCAGGGTGAATTACATCCTTATGCCTCTGCTGCCTGGGACAGACTCCCAGCCCCCGCAACCCTGACAAGGATAAACAGTTAGACGATGGATGGATGGATGGATGCTTCTGCTTCATCTTCAAACACACACAGTGACATAATTAAATGTCCTTTTGCAGTATGAAATTTCTGTGAACACTGCAGACAGTGGCAACACAATAACCAAAGCAGTAAAGCCCTGAGTGACAAGTCAGGCAGCAAAATGACAGAAACAAACAGAGACACACAGTGAAGATGGACCTGCAGACTCTGGAAAAATAAATGCATGTGGGCTGGGGGGGGGGCCGGGTTTGGGGAACGGGAAAGAGACGATGGAGGGGTGAGTTCTGGCTTCCAACAGCTCCATCACTGTCACTGTGCAACATGCAGCCAGTTTGTATCGACCATTACGATGTGAAACGGTGACACACTGACATACATGCAGTGTAGGAAATATTCTGCATCCTCAAATGTTTTTCAGTTAAACTGGGATCTGAAGACCATCTCCTGTGTCTGTAATTCTTTTATTTTGTTAATATTTCATCCAGAATTTGCTTACCTTTGATATTGACACAGGAGAGATGTTGCTCCCTGAATTTGTAAAAAGCAGTTAAAGGAAATAAAATGAAATCTTAAAATTGTCCGTTCCCACCCACAATGAACACAGTTCAACAGGACAGGAGAGGTTTTAGTAGCAAAAGATAATGGATAAGAGTCACACAGCGGGTTACAGTGCATGAAGCAGAGACACTAAGGCAAAGGCATTTAATGCTGATGATCTTGTGACTAAGGGAGTCTGAACTGGAAAGTCCCTGAGATTTTACAAAATAGCACAGAGCTCGTATATATTTATAGCCTTATAGCGCCCTCTACTGCCGGTAGCTCTCCTTCTCTTCCTGCAGTTCTTCAGTTCCATTTCAGGGAAATCACGTGAGCACCTCTGACTGGATTTCTCACTGCCAGTGTTACCAGGATAACCCAGAAACTAACAGTGAGTCAGGGCTTTTTGGGGGACCAGTTTTTCACAGGCAAAATGGCTGCTTTGTCACTTCACAATTGGTAAATTCTTTCTGGCTGTGTTACACAATGACAATAAACTGACTGAATCTTGAATCTGGCCACTCAGAAGAACAGAATTTCTTCACACAGCAGGTTGCATGAAAAACATCAGTGCTGATGTCGACTCCACAGCTGATCTGCTTTATGCAGAAAGTTAATTTGGTAACATGATGGGAAGGAGGTGTGAGAGATGTGGGAAAAATACCCCTGGAGGGTGGGGTTTATTCAGGTGATGGAGGGGCTGAGGTTGCAGGTTCAGGGGGGTGCGGTTCTCTCCCCGGGTGGGGGGGGGGGGGCATTGGTCCTTTGGCACTGGGGGTGTGGCACAGGAGGCAGGAGACCCTCAGGGCGATCACCCTCCAGGCTGTCAGGGGAAGAGGAAGCACAGACAGCTGACTTACCCTGGACTCTCAGGGTTTCAGCTCTGCTGGGGAAGACAATCCCGCCCCTCGGTGGGGCAGTCGGTGACCCCCAGCTGTTTCTGTTATCATTCCTTACAGGAGGTTTCTGGGCCGACCGTGAGGACCCCGCTGTTGCTGTCTGCCTGCACAGTCCAGAGCGTTGCCTGTGGTGTGCGGCAGATTCCTGGTGGCCATCACATCACACCCCCCCCCTAAGTGCCTTCCTAGTGGAGCTGCGTGGTCCGTGATGAGGTTGACAAGGCTCTGGGATCCTGTACGGCCTTTGGATGGCGAGCACAGGGGGCGTCTCCATGAGGTGTCATGTAACAGGGGGTGTGGCCTAAGAGGCTGGAGAACATTGTAGCTGCTGATGACCCCCTGCGGTTCCTGGCGTATGGACCTCCCCCAGAGGCCCTGTGCAGGAGGGCTGCAGCTCGATCCACTACTTCAGCAGGCTGACGTGGTGAAGCAATTCAGAGGAGTGGCGGCTGGCTGGGATGCCAGACCTGGTCGGTCACAAAACCCACCATTTCCACCATGATGTGAGGTCTCTGCCAGGAGGCCAGGAACATGCAGGAGGTGCTTGGGATGAGGATTAGGATTTGATTGCTGTGCTTGGGCAGGCCGGTTATTCACCTGTGCTCCCTGATGATCAGCCTGATCTTCTCAATCCTCTCCCTCATCTCCCAGACAGAGAGCAGTGTTCTGGTGAGAGGGAATTTCCTCCGGGTTAAACGACACTTCTGCTGGATCAAAGTCTATCACTGCAGTTCAAGTCTCAGTGGTGGTCAGAGGCTCTATGGTGCAGAGGCTGCAATGGTATATGAAATCCATACAGCGAGACTGAAAGTACTGGATGTTGTTGGGTTAACATGGCTTATGGTCCTCTGTACTGGCAAAATAGGTCCCTATTTTTAAAAAGGACTCTTGAATCTAAAGTTGTGGCAAGGCTGAGTTTCTGGTGATTAAATCGCACTTCCAAGACGTTATTTTATTAAAACTAAGACAATAAATTAAAATTAGGGCTGTCAAAATTAACGGGTTAACACGGATTAATCCATCATCATGATTAATCTGATTAAAATTTTTAACACAATTAACCCATCTGCAGCACAGAATGACTCAAAATCCCTGAAATGTCTCTGTCAACCCATTTTGGGCAGTTTTGGTGCGTTCCATTTGCCCTGGGTACTCGTGTTCCGAGTCGGATTCTGAGTTTTGAAGCCGGAAGTGACGACATGCGCGCTCCCGTTTCTCGGAAATCTGAGAAATATCTCGGAGCGCCACAGACGATCCCGAGTTCAGAATCCACGATGGCTGCGCCCTTTATCAACAGAAAGGAAAGTTGTAGTTTTATACTGTTTAAGCACTACTCATTTGTAGCTCATTAAATCGGTCTCACACACTATACCGTCCAACTTATCTATGGATGTGTTGCTATAGAGTTTTATACATAAAGCACCGCGCATAATGTGTTAACTGATACAATGGCAATTAACCGGGCTAGAATTGGATTTCATGATTATTTCTGCAAGGATTATTTGTCAGATTTACAGTAGTTCGGGCTAATTGTAAGTGAACTAAGATAAAGACCATTTAAACTGAGGTACCTTAAATCCGACAAGTTATCCGACTAAGCAAAAAATCTTGCTTTTTGATATGGGTCCATGGTATTGCACTTCTGTGGCAGATGGAATGCATCCGACTTGTGTTCAAGATGTTTTTGTCATTACGTATGTCTTCTTTTTAAAGAGATTTCCAGTTTTCCAAGATAAATTCTGAACATCATTTTGAAATTTCAGAATATCTTAGTTTTTTAATTTACCAGTCTTTCTCCCAGTCTAGAATACCTCATTATTTCATCTCAGTGATTTGTAGTCAGACTTGAAAAATTCAGGCCCAAGATCAGGCAATGATGCTATGGGCAGAGAATATAAATGCTGATATTTTTTGCAATAATGGAATTTAGTACTTCATTACAATAAAGAAAAAGGGTTTTCAGGTCAATAAATCATCTAGAAATTACATAATACTAGAAGCCTATTTGCCAATTAACTTTACTGACAGTTACATATAAATAAATTTATTAAGACTACAACATACTGATATTTATGCCTGTACTCGTATGACCGACATCAGGAGACTTTGTCTATCATTCATTTCCACCCTGGTCATC